TGGGTGAGGGGGGGGGGGGGAGGCTGGGAAGGGATGTGAAGGGTAAACAAAGGAGGAGGCTGCAATGCTTGATAAGAAATGTACGCATTATCCTGCCCATGTAATTGTAACCCCTCTGTACAGTATGTTCACAAAAATAAAATTAAAAAAAAGATGTTACTTTTCAAAATACAGTCGCTTTTTCATATTTTTACTTGATGCTTAAGAATTCTCTTAAGGTTTTATTTGTAAGAAGTAATAAGGGAGTTAGGTTTGGTCCTTCAAAAAGCAAATTAATTCAAAACCAAATGCTGTTAGTTTGTTCGCTCTATATATGACATTAAACGTCCTAGTCAGGTGCTTTAATAAGGCTACTTTGTTGCTGAGAACTAGTTTTTGTAATAATGTAAGAAAAATCCCTTGGATAAGAAAAAAAGCAAGTAGGCCCAAAATGGTTCTGGAAATTTTGAAAAGTTACATAAAATTTGAGTCTATTCAAGTATATTTATTGAATTAGGAAAAGTAATTTCCCAACAAGCACCAAGAGAGACAGAGAGAGAGAGACAGGCAGACAGACAGACAGAGACAGAGACAGAGACAGAGAGACAGAGACAGAGACAGAGAGACAGAGCCAAAGAGACAGACAAAGACAGTGACAGAGAGCATACTTATCTTTCTTGGTGAGGAAAACTGTCTAACTGTGAATCTTGTGTGCAAGAGCAAACACACCTGTATGCTGCACGATGTCTCTGCAGGGAAATTTCTGCCAGCTGAAGTCTGGACTCCACCACAATCTCCAACTCACCAGCAGAACACTGGGTGAGGTTCTTATAGACTATACTCTCCATCTCAGATACAAGGAAGTTTAGCCTGTCTTCAGCCTCCATCAGTAACATTGCCTAAAGAAAGGACATCTCACAATTATACCAATCTTATCAGATATTTTTCATGTACTGAAAATCAACAGAAAATTCAAGATTAAAAAGCAATTTTATACCTAATCATCAGAGAAGAGAATACAATAAACAAGAAAAAGACAACAGGAAATGAGACGGTAACAGCAAGTAAATGCATGGACAACAGTTATCCTGTAGTGAGTCAACCAGTACTCATTATTCACAGTAGTTGAGTAAAGTGCTAAAAAGCTGTCATAAACACTGATTAGTGAATACTAAACCATTACTCCTAGTAGAACATTGAGATGTTTCTGTGAGCCTCTGGGCACATTTTCAACAATTGATCAAAACCCTACCTTGTTTAATGTGTGTTCATAGTTAAGGACTTATTATCTAATGTATAATGTTGACTTATTAACCCTGAATTTACAGTCACTAAAACTGTGACTGAGGTGTAAATAAGGTGTAAAACTGTAAACTGAGGTGTTTTGCTTTGTAAGGCTCAACACAACTTTCTTGCTCCTAGAAACACTAGACAGCATTTCAGCATGGAGGTTCTTTTAAATAGTGAAGTCATCAACAAAAAAGTACAAAAACATAGTACAGACTGAGCATTAAAAATGGAAATATCTAGGGCTGGGAATGTGGCTTAGTGGTAGAGTGCTTGCCTAACATGCATGAAGCCCTAGGTTCCATTCCTCAGTACCACATAAATAGAAAAGCTGGAAGTGATGCTGTGGCTCAAGTGGTAGAGTGCTAGCCTTGAGCAAAAGAAGCTAAGGGACAGTGCCCAGACCCTAAAATCAAGCCCCATGACTGGCAAAAAAAATGCAAAATCTGCTTTGAGCACCTGTATGACACTCAAAAAGTTTCAGACTCTGGAGTCAGACAGGGCAGTGTGCACTTGAAATATCAGCCGCCAACAAGGCAGTGGCAGACACATTGCCAACACCAGCAAAGTTACTTATACACAGGCTCCAAAAAAAAAATATAACAAAAAAGACTAAAGGCATAGCTCAAGTGGTAAATTGCTTGCCTCATGTGGGTGAAGTACTTGGTTCAAAAGCCCCAGTATAGGGGAGAGGGAGAGTTTCAGATACTGAAACATTTCTGATTTTGGTTTATCAGAGGAAGGAGGTGTGGTACTGGGATTTGAACTCAGGGACTTGAGCTTTCAAGGCAAGTGCTCTACCATTTGATCCATACTCCTATCTACAATTTTTTTTTACTTTGTCAACTTTTTTTTTAATTGTGAGAACACTGTACAGAGGAGTTACAATTACATGGGCAAGATAACAAGTACATTTCTTATCAAGCATTGTTGCCTCCTCTTTGTTTCCCCTTCCCATCC